AAGTAATGTCGATGATATAAACAACAAAAATACAGAAAATTTAAAACATCTTATATAATTAAAAAAATATCGAAATTTATTTATTATTATTTAGTGGATTACTTGGAAATGTAATATTGTCATATCAAATAAAAATATATAACAAAGAAACAATAAATTATAAAAATTTAACATTTCAAGAATAAGTTGATAAATCATAATAATGTGACAATGTCTCATTACATATAGCTAAAAAAGTCAAAAGTTTCCTTTCCAGTCGGAATAATCTGCTTAGATGGTAACAAGAAAATATTCACTTTTATCCTGTAATTTGTAGAGGTATACAATGAGTGTGCGGACAACATTTGCGACGTAATCTATACTAAACATTCAACTCTAGAAATTATTTTACTTATAAGAAGTAGCATATCTTTTAATTTAATGAAAAAAAAATAAAATTTTGTTTCTAAATCAAATGTATCTAATAAATATATCTAAATATATTTAAAAAGAAAAAAGAATTAAATATTATACTGATTTTTATAAAAATTTTATTATTATGAATTAAAAACGAGAAAAAGTCTTATTGAACGATAAATTATACTAAATAATTAAGTGTTCTTACGTTAAAATTTGATAATACATCTCATATTAAGTATTGCATTTCTTTTTAAGAGCTTCGATTGCTATCAAGTTAATCTGATACTGAAATCATAAATATTTTCTATTAATTTCTACTGTAATATTTAATTATATTATTAAATATGCAAATAATATAACATTATGAATTATTAGAAAACAACTTTTTAAACTTATTTAATACGAAGAAGTTATGTAAACCCATGAAAATGCATTGCTTCTATAATTTTATTTCCTTTTTATAGCGATATTTCAAGGATAAATATTCTTTTTTAATAAAGTTAATTACCCATATTACATAGTGGAGGATATTTAAATAACTGCAAGGATACAAGCAATTGCTGCCTATAGCTGTGAAACGAGATGTACGCGTAAAATTGCTAAATTTCATATATTGAGACATGGATTCCGTTTCTATTTCTGAGAATGCCTTGCTTCCAGGATAATCTTCGCTGCAAGGATCGTTGCTGACACCAGTAGCTGAGAATCAAATTGTACATACATAAATTTTAATTTTACAAGCTCTTTGAAGCTCCTAAAATAAGGGTAATGTTTTTTAAAAATCGTTCACTTTCGATTTCGATAAAAAACTTTGTAAAAAATTTTCAATTCAAAATCAAAGCTCTTAAAAGGTTTTCTGACGACTCCTAAAAAAAGTCATTTTTTAAAGATAAAATAATAAAAACAATGTATATTTATACTAATCAAACCGATTTCAACAATCTTGAAATATATTAGGGGAAGAAAGATCCATGGGTTTCAATTTTTCAGTAAAGCGATATTCACTTTTGCGACATTGCTCTCTGCGAAGTGAGGCCTATAATGTAATGATTCAGTTTCACATGGGTTTCTATCTTTTTACGCAAATCCATTTCCGATTGGAAATTAAAATTTGGTTCGGGTTATATTACATACATCTTTCAAATACAACCTCTACATAGGAGAGGGGAAGGGAGTGAATAATCTTTTTCGCATATACTTTCCACGAGAAACGAAATTTGTCCCATATCACATCTTGTTTACAATATGAAATCTATATATAGGTGGTGTACACGGATTCACATTTTATCTTAATTTGAAAATGTTCAATGCTATTCTATTTAACATACTTTAAAGTCAATAAAATCGGTAATTTTGTTTGCATTATTATAAACACTTACTAATTTTATATCATTTTATCTTAAAAAATGGCTTTGACATAATCGTCAAAAATCCCTTTAAGAACTTTTATTTTAATCCGAAATAAAACTTTTTTACAAAGCTTTGTTTCATCAAAATCGGAGATGAACGATTTTCAGATTGTCTCAAAGTATGAACTTTCGATATAATACTTTTTATTATTTATTATTGTCTTCTATTTACTGAATATTTACTATTCCATTGAAAATCCCAGTTTCTATTAAGATTCGATCCAATACAGAAAAAACTGGACGATTTGCGATTTTTCGTCTAGAATCGATTCTGAAAA